TTGCTACCAGACAAATATGGCTATCTAAATTTGAATTAATTTAAATGTAGTTAAAATCTGTTTCCTCAGTTGTGCTAGCCACATTTCAAATACTTACTAGCTGCATGAGTTTTGTGACTACCATATTGGGACAAGAGAGATACAGAACATTTCCATCATCATAGACATTTCTACTAGACAGAGCTGCTCTAAAGGGAGGGTTGGCAAACTTTTTCCATAGGGCCGTAGAGAAAATATTCTAGGTTTAGTGGCCGTGCATGGTCTATGTCTCATATTTTTTATAACTTTTAAAAATATAAAAACCATTCTTAGTTCATAGATTGTACAATAATTCACTGCAGGCTGAACATAGTTGATTTCTGCCACTCTAGAGCATCTCATTCCTTTCTTCTGATAGACACAGGACAGGAGGTCAGAAGTAGATTCATGAATAAAAAGTTTTGTTCCATCCTAAGATAGGTATTTATACCTCAGGTTGAAACTTCAGCAAGAACTTTTGCCTCTACTAAGGAACATGATTTAGTCTGTAGAGTTTCTCTGCTATGCTCTGCTGAGCAGCGTCATATCCTTTATTTCAGTGATCCTAGATGATGGAACTTGAGAAAATGTGTTACAATATTATAATATGATTGCTCTGGAAGCATCAGTCTTTTCATACATGGTAATTTTATATCAATAAATTACTGAAAATATGTATTGATGAAATGTTTCTATGCTCTGATGCAATCTCATTGTAATTGTCTAAAAAATTCCTCTAAATGTTTAAAAAAGTGGTACAGTAAGATCTCTTATAGGGTATTTAGTTTCCTTTAAACAATCTTATTGATATTTACAGTGATGATTGAAGTTCATGTAAATTTTTTGCATCATGAAAATGTGATCATCTATTTTTTTATTATTTTAAAATATTTGATTTTATATTTCTCCTTTAGTCATCACCATTTGTAATAGTTACTTTGGGTTTTACATTTTCACTTGCTTTAAAAACAGGAAAGTAAAACTTAGGAGTATTATTTAAAATATTTATGCCTGCAATTTAACAAGATTTGTTGAATATTAACTATGTGCCCAGCACTGTGGGTACAAAAATCAATTATGTAAATTCCTGATCTCAAGGAACTCACATGTAGCAGGAAGGCAGGCACATAAATCTGTAAAACGGTATATGAAATGCTATATAAGTTCAAGAAAAAGATGTGGAAACCTGGAGCAAAGAGCTATATTAGGGCTTCCCTGGTGGCGCAGTGGTTGAGAGTCCGCCTGCCGATGCAGGGGACACGGGTTCATGCCCCGGTCTGGGAGGATCCCACGTGCCGCGGAGCGGCTGGGCCCGTGGGCCATGGCCGCTGAGCCTGCGCGTCCGGGGCCTGTGCTCCGCGGCGGGAGAGGCCACAACAGTGAGAGGCCCGTGTACCGCCAAAAAAAAAAAAGAGCTATATTAAAGTAATGTCTATAAAACCTTCAGAAGAGAAGAGGAATCTCTTTTGGGCTTTTATGGATTGATGGATGAATGAGATATTTTGGAAGTGAGAGAGAGAGCCAAGGCATAAAACAAATAGCATGTATAAAACAAATAGCCGTATAAAACAAATAGCATGGCTACATATATGCATCTCTCTCTCTCTCTCTCACACACACACATGCATGCACACACACATGCACACACACACACACTTGGAATAAGTACTCAGAGAAAGGAGGGGAGTATAGTTTGGCTTGAGTAGAAGTTGTGAATGTAGGATGGTAACATATGTGTCTAGATTTATGGTTAATCTGTGTAGCTTGCTAAAATTATTGAATGCTATAATAAAATAGGCAATGAGGTGAATTTAAGCATAGTCTTAAGCTTAGTGAGAAATATGATTCTGGCAGCAGGGTATAAAATGGATTGGATAAAATAATTAAAGTAGGGAGATGCCCTAGGAAGCTCTTTCTATAGTTAGGGGAAACAGTATTGAGAACATAAAGTTAAACAAATAGTACCACAATAGAGGGGGTTAGTAGGATTCTCCAGTATTTAGGAATAAACTTGAGCAGAATTTGATCAGTTGGTTTGGGGTAAGGAAAAAATTAAAAAATGGCTCCACATTTTATAGCTTGCTGTCCAAGTCAGCTTTGTAACTGTTAAAGGAGACAGGAAACATGGAAGAGAATAGGGTTTAAGAATGGAAATAGAGATTTTAGTTTGGTGAGGCTGATTTTGAAGAACCAATGGATCATATAGACAGAAATGTCTAATAGTAGTATAGTTATTGGTCAGAACAAAAAAAGCATTAAATTACCATATGATTATCACCTCATCAGCACATTGTTTGTGAAGTGTTAAGTACTGTATTAAGTGTTTATCATTCACTGTGTAGTTTATTCCTTACAAAAAGCTTGTAGGGGGCACTATTATTTTACTCACTTTAGAAATGAGACAGATTTGCTTATTTCTGCCAGGATTATCTTTTCTCCGCTTATATGATTCAGAAAAATGAGACAATATGTTTGAAAACATCTAACAATGCTTGGTTCACAGTTGAAGCTCAACCCATTCAGATAGTAGAATATGGTAGTTAAGAGCGTGAGTTCTGGAATCAGACTATGGTTTCAAAATGCACTCCTGGGGCTTCCCTGGTGGCGCAGTTGTTGAGAGTCTGCCTGCTGATGCCGGGGACGCGGGTTCGTGCCCCGGTCCGGGAGGATCCTACATGCCGCGGAGTGGCTGGGCCCGTGAGCCGTGGCTGCTGAGCCTGCGTGTCTGGAGCCTGTGCTCCCCAATGGGAGAGGCCGCAACCGTGAGAGGCCCGCGTACCGCAAAAAAAACCAAAAACAAACAAAATGCACTACTGTACCAAAAACAGACAAAGACATTATAAGAAAGGAAAACTACAGACCAATATCTCCTGTGAACTTACATGCAAACATCCCCAACCAAGTATTAGCAAATCAAATCCAACAATGTATAAACAATTATACATCACAACCGAGTGGATTTATCCTAGGTATGCAAGGCTGCTTCAAAATTCCAAAATCGATTAATATAACTCATCATATTAATAGGCTAATAGAGAAAAAACATAATTATCTCAGTAGATGTATAAAAAGTATTTAAAAGGAGCCTAACACCCATTCATGACAAAAAATTCTCAGCAAATGAGGAAGATAGGAAAACTTCTTCAACTTGATAACATCCACAAAAACCCTACACCTAACATCATATTTAAATGATGAGAAACAAAACCTTCTTCCTAAGATCAGGAACAAGGCAACGATGTCCCTTCTCACTACTCCTATTCAGCATTGCAGTGGAAGTCCTAGCTAATGCAATAAGACAAGAAAAGGAACTAAAAATTATACAGAATGGGAAGGAAGCCATAACGTTGTCTTTGTTTATAGATGACATTTTTACATAAAAAATCCCAAAGAACCAAGAAAACAACTCCTTGCGCTAATAAGAAATTATAACAAAGTTGCAGGATACAAGGTTAATATTAAAAAATCATTTCCTGTATACCAGCAGTGAACAACTGTATCTGAAATTAAAAAGAGAAAACTGTTAAAATTAAAATAAAAACACAGCACCAGTTGTATTTCAAAAAATGAAATACTTAGGTATATAAGTCTAACAAAATTCATACTACATCTATATGAGAAAAACTAGAAAACTCTGATGAAAGAAATCAAAAGAGATATAAATAAATGGAGAGATATTCCATGTTCATGCATAGGAAGATTCAATATTGTTAAGATGTCTATTCTTCATAACTTTATCTATAGATCCAATGCAATGCCAGTTAAAATCCCAGGAAAATATTTTGTGAATAATGACAGACTGATTTGAAAGTTTATAATGAAGTGCAAAAGATCCAAAATAGCCAAAACAGTATTGAAGAATAGAGTTGAAAGACTGACAGTCTCTGACTTACTTATCATACTTACTATAGAACTACAGTAAACAACATTGTGTGGTAATGGTGAAACAATAGACAAATAGATCAGTGGAACAGAATAGAGAGCCCAGAAATAGACCCACAAAAATTGGTAAACTTATATTTGACAAAGAAACTAAGGCAATGAAAAAAAATCTAACACCCAATCATGACAAAAACTCAGTGGAGATAGGATAATCTTTCCAAGAAATGGTGCTGGAACTACTGGACATCCACATGCAAAAATAAGTAAATAAAAATAATCCTACACTTTTAACTAAAGTTTACTAAAAGTGGATCAGAGACCTAAATGTAAAACGCAAAACTATAAAACTTCTAGAAGATAACTTCTAGGTGACCTTGGGTTTAGTGATGACTTTTATATATAAACCAAAATCATGATCTAAGAAAGAAAAAAATAAGTTGGACTTCATTAAAGTTAAAAGCTTCTGCTCTTTGAAAGTCCCTGTTAAAACAATTAAAATACAAGCCATAGACTTGGAGAAAATCTTTGCAAACCATATATCTAATAAAGTATTGTCTCTAAAATATACAAGGAACACTTAAAAACTCAATAATAAGAAAATAAACAACCCAATTAAAAGATGGGCAAACAATGTGAATAGACAACTCTGCGAAGAAGATATATAGATGGTAAATAAGCATATAAAAAGATGTTCAGCATAATATCTCATCAGGGAATTGCAAATTTAAACAGCAAGATACCGCTGTACACCAATTAGAATGACTAAAATCCAAGACACTGACAACACCAAATGCTCATGAGAATGTGGAGCAATAGGAACTCTCACTCATTGCTGGTGGCAATGCAAAATGGTACAGACATTTTGAAAGACAGTTTGGCATTTTTTTTTTAAACTAAGCATAGTCTTATGTTATGATCCAGCAACTGCCTTTATTGTGGATTGATTTGCATTGCCCCAGAAAGATACGTTGAAATCCTAACTCTCAGTCCTTCACATTGTGATCTTGTTTGGAAACAGAGTCTTTAGAAAGTTTATTAATTTAAAATTAGGTCATTAAATTGGGCCCTAATCCAACATGATTGGTGTCCTTATAAAACAGGGAAATTTGAACACAGAGTCAGATATCACAGCAAAGACAAAGTGATGACACAGAGGAAAACACCACATGAAGAAGGCAGAGATTGGAGTAAAGCATCTACAAGCCCAGGAACACCAACGATTGCCAGCACATCACCAGAAACTAGAGAGCAGCATGAAACAGATTCTTCCTTGCAGCTCTCAGAAGGAACCCATACTGCTGACATCTTAATTTCAGACTTCTAACCTCCAGAACTGTGAGACAATAAATTTCTGTTGTTTTTAGGCACCCAGTTTGTGGTACTTTGTTTCAGCCGCCCAGGAAACTAACACAGAGCTGCTGGGTAATTACTCAAATGAATTGAAAACTTACGTCCACGCAAAAAAACTGTATATGAATGTTTATAGCAGCTTTACCCATAATCTCCAAAATTTGGGAGCATCCAAGATGTCCTTCATTAGTTGAATGAATAAATAAACTTTGATGTATCTAAGCAAAGGGATAAAAAATTCGCTATCAAGCCATGAAGAGACATGAAAAAACTTTAAATGCATAGTTGCTAAGTGAAGAAACCAGTCTGAAAAGCCTGCATTCTGTATGATTCCAATGATATGACACTCTGCAAAAGGCACAACTATAGAGACAGTAAATGATCAGTGATTGCTAGGGATTCGGCAAGAGGGAAGGAAGGATGAAAAGTAGAGCACAGGTAATTTTTAGGGAAGTGAAACGATTGATACTATTATGGTGAATATGCATTTGTCAAAACCCATGAAACGCTATAACACAAAGTGAACCCTAATGTAAGCTATGATTTTATTAATGACAGTGTGTCATCATGTAACAAATGTACCATAATAGCAAAGTATTAATAATAGGGGAAACTGTGTGCAGGAGGGTGGGGAGGGGGAAAAGAGAGTATATGGGAATTCTGTATACTTTCTGCTCAATTTTCTGTAAACCTTAAACTGCTCTAAAAACTGGTCTGTTAGTTAAGAAAAATACACTTTAACCTTTAGTAGTTGTGAGGCCTTGGAATAGTTTAACTTCTCTGTGCCTCAGTTTTCTCTTCTGAAAAAGGGCCAATAACAGAACTACTTTATAGAGTTGTTGTGAAAATTAAACGTGATAAGACATGTAAATTGCTTAGTACAGTGCCTTGTACTTAGCGGGTAGTCAAGCGTGTTCTAATTATTTAAAGAGAAGTCAGAGTTTCACAGATGTCACATACTTGTATTTGTTTTTGAAATCGAAGTTTTTGGCATAGCTAGACACTAGCCTGTTAGAAATTTAATATATACATTTGCATAGAGTTTAATTGCATTACATTTCACATTGAGCTTGTGACTGGTACATAGTGTTGAGACAGTCATCTTAAATGAAAGAATCTACTGGTAATATGTGTTTTCCAACAAGGGCGAAGGACCTTATGCAGCTTCTTGGCCTTATGCAGCAGATGCAAACATTGCATGAAATTTACCAAGTGGAGTTACCATGACAGATAACTGTGGACACGTTTTAAATGCCTCATCCTTTGTGCTCTATTAAAACCATCCTGTTCAGACAAATAAGAATTTAGAGCCATATTAGTGCACATATGAGATCTTTAGGGACATTTAATAATGGCTTATCTCTTCTTATTTTATTAGAAATCTTGCCTTTATTAGCAGGTGAGGTTGAAAATCAGCTTTATGTTGTCTAACTCAATTTTCAAGCCCTAGCAACATAAAGCTTATAGGCTGGTAGCAGTATTTGTAAATTAAAGATTGCTTTAATCTTCAGTGACAGAGATTTATGAAATATTGCTTTAAATTTGTGCTTCATGTGGTAAAGCAAATTGAATTTATTTTATAGACAAAAGCAACTTGAAGAAACCCATAGATTACTTTGGCCACTGAAGGGTATAAATTATGTCGAACTAAATTTTGTCAGTGCTGTGTTTGAGCTATTTAGATAAAACATGTTTGTGACATTTATTGCAAAATGATACCTTCTTCTAGACTCCTGCATTCTCTGGAGTTGAGTATAGAATGAATCATTATGGGAATTAGTAATCCTTCTCTTGACAGGAATTGCATTATCCAAGGATATGAAAATTTGAATGTATTTTTCTAAGTAAATTATTATGAAAAAGTATCCAAACCTATTATGATGAATTTGAGGCAAGCCAAAACATTATACAACCCACATGCATAATTTCCAGCCAAATTCACTGCCATTATTTAGGATTTTTAATGCACATTCATTCCCACAGGGTGTAATCCCACGTACAGGCAAGGTAAGTAAATCACTGTGATTGTGGTACTTGTTTGTTTGAAGTAAAGCAGTTCTTACAGAGCGTGAAGCTTTCTAGTGGACACCCCACCACCAGTGTTGGTGTTCCTGTTATTATTTCTCTCAAGAAAGAGCAGAAAGCCATCCATTATGAACAAAGCTTTGCACTAGAAAGAAAAAATATATATGTTTTAAGACTCCAAGGACCCAAGCGTTTATTGGGCAGAAGAGGCTAATGTGTACATGTATATAAACATTAAAACATAAACAACCAACCTCAGGGCTCAACAACTGGGGAGGAATGAAAGACGAAGCAAGGGTAGATGGTTTAAAAAACTCTATAACTGGATCCAGAAAAATTATTATTTGGTTATTATTAATATTTATAATCAAATTAGTGTAAGACTCAAATTTATTTATATAGCAAATGCCACTGAACAGCATTTCAATTTAATAATTTGATTATGAATTATATTGGCTGTCATTAATTGGGAAGGAGATAATAAGTCTTTGATTAACAGTTGTTCATCTTTTTCTTGCCAAAAATGTTCCTCTAGACAAATATAACCCAAAACATTGCAACTTACATTTATGTTATTTATATTGAGCCATAGTGGCCATGACATGCATAGCATGTAGCCCTCTTTCCTACCATTATGTACTGCTCCACACAAAGGAAGAATCACAACAGTTGGTGGGCTTCTCTGAATATTAAAGTTAACATATTTCATATCTGAAGATGCTTTTTCAACCCGTTTACTGAGTAAGCTTCAGATTTTGCAAGGAGCCCAGAACAAAAGAAGGATCTGCAATAGGTCGAGGTTTCAGGGCAACCTGTTTTAACCCAATAGATCCAATTGCACTTAAAGGATAGAAAGGGACAATGCATGGAGCCTCTGCTTCATCCCAAAGAGACCATAATGCAGACTCCTAGGGTTTTCGAGTAAGTTTCTCCTGTGTGCTATATTCTGTGGCCAAAATGGGACATGATGATAGATTCCATACCAGAACCAGACTACCGTGTTTCCAGGTCAGTGAAGAGTGTTTTGTTGTTAGTTTGGATGATATCTCGATATTCCAATGGTAAATAGAACAATATCTCAAATTCTGGAACTGTATTGGGGTGTATCCACAGTTGGATAGGCAATGCTTCTGCAAATCAGAGGCCCCTGACTACCCTTTTGGACCAGTCACTTAATGAGCTTAATCTTGTAGGGAGAGGCTACAGTTTTGTTGGGGTTTTTTTAACATCTTTATTGGAGCATAATTGCTTTACAATGGTGTGTTAGTTTCTGCTTTACAACAAAGTGCATCAGGTTTACCTATACATATATCCCCATATCTCTTCCCTCTTGCGTCTCCCTCACACCCTCCCTATCCCACCCCTCTAGGTGGTCAAAAACCACTGAGCTGATCTCCCTGTGCTGTGTGGCTGCTTCCCACTTGCTATCTATGTTAAAAAAAAAAAAAAAAAAAAGTTATGAAGAACCTAGGGGCAGGACAGGAATAAAGACGCAGTCGTAGAGAATGGACTTGAGGACATAGGGAGGGAGAAGAGTAAGCTGGGAAGAAGTGAGTGGCATGGAATTATATATACTACCAAATGTAGAATAGAGACTATAGTTTTGAAATCCCTTTTGTCTTCATTTCTGGGAAGTTCTGAGCCCTCTCCTTATACACCCTGTATCTTAGGTTTTAAGCAGTTGGTTCAATTCCACCCACTCTTTTGAAAGTTGAAGGAAGCCCCCATTCCTACCTCCCAGTACTTCATTTTATTAATCTATTTTATTTTATTTTTAATTTAACTTATTTATTTCACATAAATTAAGGCTGGGAACACCATCAGTCTTATCATATTTGGCTTCTTTATCTACAAGCCATTATACAGCCTTGCAAGAGGGAGATTGCTTAGAAGGGTCTATTGAGTGATTCTGTCAGGTTACTTGGTACCCTTGGGTATTACCTGTCTTTCTGGGAGGAGGGATAGTCAACCAGGCCATTTCTATCTTTATTTCCTTTTACATAGAACACGTAGCACCCTAGCAACACAATCCTGTCTTGGACTACTGTACTTAGTTTCAGAGGAAGATGAAAGATGAAAGAATAAGAGCATCATTCCTCCCATATAGCTTAGCAAATTGTAACTTTATTGCCTTCTCCTCTTCATGGAACCTGCTTATTTCTGGGAAACTCCCTTCAAGACCATTAATAACAACAAAATAATGTTATCCTTGGTTTCTGGTTCAGGATACAGTCAACACAGGAGATAAGTGACAAATTAGTGACCTGCAATTCGAATCATTATCATTGATGAACTCTACTACTCCCAGAAGAGTACTTTCTTAACCTCCCTTTGATATGTTTTTGATCTTTAGTCCCTAGGATCCCTTTGAAGGCTGTGATGGGTTTGGCTTTCTGCACCAAACTGTCAGACAAATGAGGACAAGTAACCCAAGAACACACACATCAGGCATGGAATGATGTTTATATTGATATAGGAGGACTAGTGGATTTGTAGTTCCTCCTGTAAAGGCAATGGAGAAGCACATAGGAATATAAGGCATCTAGGTATCATGATGAGAGCTAGTCCCTGGCTGAAGAAGCATCATCACATGACCTGGACCATGGGCTGAGGATTGAAGTCACAGCTCTATAATGTGATAGAACTTTGTCCAGCAGCACTGCTCTGCCACAGTAGGAGAGCACAAGCCCCTCTCCTATGATCAAGGACTGGGGTCTATGCTTTGCAATTGTAGATATATGACAGAACAAATCACTGGCTTCCAACCCTGATCCACCACTGCCTCAGCATTCTCACATAATTGAATTCCTTACTGCTTCTCTGTACCTCTTTTCTATGGAGCAGTTTGAGTTTCCAACTAGCCTTGCTCTGCATTTACCCAACACTCTCAGGAAGACCAGCCTACAGGGAATCAGCCTGGGAAATATAATTCTTCTTACTTTTCATTTAGAATCTCTGAAGGGAAATGCTGAGAAAAATTATGTGATTTGAAATAAACCAACAGAACAAACTTTGGAG